AAAAACATGCATGTTAGGCTGATTGGTAACTCTAAATTGTCCCTAGGTGTGAGTGAGAGAGTGAATGGTTGTTTGTCTCATTTGTCTCTATGCGGCCCTGTGATGGACTTGCGACCCGTCCAGGGTGTACCCCGCCCCTCGCAGTGATTGCTGGACATGGGCACCGGCGACCCCCGTGACCCAAAATGGAATAAGCGAGTAAAGATAATGGATGGATGGAGATACATATACACATATATTATATATATATATATATATATAAAATATATATTATATATATATTTTTTTTTCAGTACAATGTTATAAATCAATAGTGCAACATTTCCTGATGTTGGCTTTAAAAATGGAGCAGAAATATCAAAATTACAGACATTTAGGTGAATTTAAAATGAGCAAGACTTGTAAGAAAAACAGAACATGATGTATAGTAGTTCCTGTTGCCTGATAAATAACGTCTGCCTCTGCTTTGCTTTGCTTTTCCTGAAACCAGGATCTTTGATTTAATGTCACAGTGTATAAATTGAAATCAGAAGTCGTTCGCCTTCAGGAACGAAAAGCCCGAGGATGATAAATTGTTCGCTCGCTCCTTCATCACTCTGCAGAGTGCTGTACATGCAAGAAACTACTTGAGGGGGAAAACAAACATCACATTTAAGCCAATTGTAGAGTTTATTTTAATGTAATTAGTAGCAAAATAAAGATTTCAATCTGACAAACCAATAGATTTACAAACCCAGATACGGACAAATATCAATGTTAACTTAAGTAAAGTTTGTAAATAAAAAGTGGAGCAAGTCTGAACCAATACAACAGTCAGGAGCCATGTTTTAAGTTTCAAACCCATATCATTTGCATACAGTATAATGTATATTGTGTTTGTGTATATACAGATTGTATCATCTATATAGGCACTATTTGGGCCTCATCAGAAAATACAACACACCGAATATAAAGATACTTATAAAAGTAGAATCTCATTCAAAGTCATCACCGAAGATTCATAAATAACCCTGCGGGACACAAGGATCAAAAGATTAGTTGTTATGGCTAACATGGCACAAAACCAACCTAACTATTCATATAATGTTCTTCTGTCTAGCTTACCTCTGGATGTCTCTGCTGTCTACAGATGAGACGGCATGCTTGTGAAGGTGCTGCTGCACAGACACAGCTGCGCTCTTCAGGCCAGCTTTAGACCGTCCCGCTAATGGATAGGAAACGGGAGACATTTTTATAAACAGAAACTGCACATTTTGAAATGGATATTGAGGCTATTGTTTTAAAAAAACAAACTGACCATGGTTTATGACGGCCAAGACGTGCAGAATGGCTGCCAGCTCAGCGAGATTGTTGATGGCGTCTGAGTCCAGAGATGAGCTAACCTCGTCCAAGAACAGCCTGAAAGAAGCGTGCACGAATGTATCGTCACTCAATTAATGGCTACAACTGCTGGGAGTTGGTGCAAGCTCTAAAAGGGGGTTCAGGTCATCACCTGGTGATGGAGGGTGATTTGAGGATGACTGACAGCAGCATGCTGGACAAAGGAGGCATGTCATCCACAGACTGTGGAACAATTACCTCCTCAGGATGAGTCATCTGTAAAAACATCAACACAGTAGCTGATAAGGCTTTAATCATTTTATGCAATAGTGTGAATGTTTATGAAGCATTCACACTATTGTGATCCATTTTTCTTCTTTCGTCATGTTTCTCGTCCCACAGTTTTCAAACCATTTCAACAAATCATAAATCCAAACGTTCAGCTCTTTCAGGACAATCCTATGACTTTTGGTATTAGTGAAACTGTAGCTTTTTGAAATATTTAGCCTTTGCTGCCACTTTTTTCCCCTCAGAAAATGAATCGAGCTTATTTTACATCCTTCATATCTTTAGCTCTGTTTACAACCTTCCACTGCTCCTTTCACTTTTTGTTCTGCTTCAGCTTCTTTCAGCTTCCTTCTGCAAATTTAAAAAGTTTCAGCTGCTTTGTGCTCCTTTTAGGTTGTTTCCAACTACATTTTTGTGCTTCTTCTAACTTCTTTCTGCTAATTTCAGTTTATTTCTGAAAGTTTCAGCTTTTTCTACTGTTTCAGCTACTATATACAGTAGCTGTTGTTATGCTAATTTAAGCTTTTCAGCTAATTCCACATTTTTTGCACTCATTTCAAATTTTTTCAGCATAATTCAGCAAAAATGTGCTCTCTCCACTTCCTTCTTTTAATTTCAGCATCTTTAGCTACTTTTCAGCAGTTTTTTGCTAACTTCAGCTTTTTTTTAATATAATTTCCACTTCTGTGCTCATTTCTGCTTCTTTCAGCAAACATGTTCTTCCTGCTTTCTTCTGCTAATTTAAACTTGTTCTACATTTTCAGCTAACTTTTTAGCATTTTTAGCTACCGTAATTTCAGCAGTTTTTAGATAAATTCAAGTTTTTCTTAGGTCTGCTACTTTCAGCCTAATTAACTTATTTATGCTAATTTCAACTTGTTATGCTCCTTATGGCGTTTTTCAGTTAGTTTCAGCTTTTTTTTGCTATTTCAATTACTATTTAGGTGTTTTTATGTAAATTTTAGCCTTTTCAGTTAATTCCACGTTTTTTTTTTTTTTAGCTCATTTCAACTCTTTCCACTTCCTTCTGGTAGGTTAAGCTTCTTTCTGCCATGTTTTACTAATTTCAGCTTTTTTAGCTAATGTCTTAATTTTTGTGCTAATTTCTGCCTATTTAAACCTATTTCAGCAAATATGTGTTATTTCTGCTTTCTTCTGCTCATTTAAGCTTGTTCTTCCATTACAGCTACAGTTCATCATGCATTTTTATCTAGTTTCAGCCGTTTTTCAGCAAGTTCTTCTGGAATAAGCATTCACATTGAATTTTCACAAGAAACGCAATTTCTCTAGTTTAAATTAGAAAAAATAAAATTTATATTCACATTGCTCAAAAATATAAATAGGACAGATAAATAATGGATTGACTGGAGTTTTCAAAGGTCGATGCCCATTTGCAGAAATCAGTGCAGCTGATTGCAGATTTATGAAGCTGATTTGTATATTTGGCTTTTGACACTTACCAATAATAATAATGGACTGATATTTATACAGAATACAATCTACTAGATTTAAAATTATAAAAACCATGCAGGGCTGTGATTTTTCTTTGGGTCCAATGCAGAGTACATTTTCTTACCAGTTTACGGAAGGCTTGCCAAGCGTAATGTATCCATGTTTTCTTTCTTTAAGTAGCATTTTCTATCTACCCAACTCTAAAAGACAATACTTAGACATATCATGTTCTCTGCAAATACAACATTATTCTGGTAAAAGTTAGCAAAATATTCTGGCCAATTTCCTTCAAGCAAGAACACTGTTGCGCTCAGATGAGACTGATGCCAAATATTTTTAAACATATGCAAAAACTGACCTAGTTCATCACCCAACTTATCGAGCGCTAATAAAGGTTAGGCCACTTTTAATTTTTTTTTTATTAACCTTTATTTAACCAGGTAAATCCCACTGAGATCACAGATCTCTTTTGCAAGGGAGGCCTGGGCCTGAAGGCAGCCTAACATGCATGTTTTTGATCTGCATGCTTCTTATTGCTCCAGTTTTCTTGTACCTTCTGAAGCAAATGCCTCTTTTCCACAATGATGACAGCAAAGACAGTAGAGAAGACCCCGCTGAGAAGGGTTCTGTCCCACGTTTGTGCCACTTGGAGGAAATCAGTCAGACCAGGAACGACTGACTGGCAGAGCTAAAGAGAGAGAAACAGATTCAGAACAGGAGGCAGTACAGGAAACTGTAAGGACAGTACTCCTGAAGAAGTATTTCAATTCAACTATCTGCTATTTATTGTTCTTATTAGGTTAAACAATAACCTAAGAAATAAATTATACCTGTTTTCCTTCCTCTGGTTCTTTCCTGAGTCGGTGTGCTAACAGCTCGATCATCTTTTGGAACATGTTGGCCACCATGCCCAAGATGGGATGTGTCACATCCTCCTGATTCTCCTCATCTTGGTTATTATCACAGGGGACACAGCTGTTTGCCACCTCCTTCAAAACTGACAGCACTGCAGAAATGCACACGTAGCCCGACTCTGAAAACACAAAGCAAACCACCTCCCATTTACTGGTTCTTTTACTGCTAGGGATTTACACACAGCTGAAGATCTGCATGATGCAACAGAGCTAAAGCCAAGGGAAACAAACTCACACTTGCTTTCTCCCACTTTGACACCAGCACAAACATAAATAAATAAATAAATAAAATGCTTACCTGAGAGGAGGATGAGTGAGCACAGGTGGAGGATTTGACCCTTGAACGTCTCGTCACTCAAGCCTATGAGCAAAACGTCTTGGCAGACTGTGAGGAAGCTCTGAGAAAATTCACAACAATTGTGACAATTATTACATAAACAAAAAATATAAATAGTCTGTGGAGATGGGCAGTGAAGTCTGAGTTGAGAATTTGAAGAACAATGCTAAATCTATCTTCTTTCAGCTTTTCCCTCTTCAGGGGTCACCACAGCGAGTCATCCTGTATGTCATGATGTCCTAGTGCAGGGCGATATGACTAACAATTTGTTTCACGTGTTTTTAAAGAATCTGGCGGTTTCATGGTAATTTTTTTTTTAACTTAGCTTTCCCCCCCCCCCCCCCCATGATGGTTTTTATACATGTTTGTAGTTTATTTTACTGTCAGGAGTACAAGGCTTTAAATCAAGGCTGTAATCAAAGTATCAATTACTTTGTCCCGCCCCAAAATATCCCTACTTAACTCATCCTTCAAGTTGTTGTAATATCTTCAGTTATGAGTAGTACCCATATAAAATTTTGCAGTAGTGTACAGTACATATACCATATTTTCCAGCGTATAAGTAGCATCAGTCCAAAAAAGCATCATGAAGAGGAAAAAATATATGAGTCACATTTATTATGCGTTACCGCTGACCCCTTGGAAATGTGGGCCGGTGTCGTGGCAAAAAGAAGTAGTAGTTGTTGTTGTCAAAAGCCTAGAGGGCCCACTCGTCCTCTAGCGGCTGCAAGTGGTAATGTTTACTGGTTCATGTCAGTATGAATGAACATTTCAAGTGTCAGTCAAAAACTGTGTTATGAATATAAAATAAAATAAAAACGTAAATAAGTCGCAGGACTGGCAAATCTATGCAAAAAACTGTGACTTATAGGCTAGAATATATGGTACGTATGTTGTTAAAATTACACAGGTTTAAGAGTTTAGAACATTGTTAAGAACACTGCAAGAGTGTGGGAAGGGTTTATAAAGCCTTAATATATACATACACACACACACATATATATATATATATATATATATATATATATATATATATATATATATACTAAAAATAAATATAACGTCCCTACTTCTCAGATTTTCACTTATCGCAGTGTTTCTGGAATGTAACCCTCATGATAAGTGAGGGACTTACCGTATTCTTCAAATAGAAAATAGCTGAACACATTTGAAGAGTTCTTGCCTTAAATGCACATCCATAATCGTCAGTCTTAGAGAATAAAATTCCAACACTTGTGTAATCACTGCCAATATCTGATTGCAGCAACAATGACGCGATGAAAATGAGCCCTTTTAGCATGGTGATATGAGCAGAACGAGGCATGTACAAAGTGTGTGTGTGTGTGTGAGCAGAGCAGAAAAATCAATGAAGATTCTAAATTTATGGAGCAGATCTGGAAGTCCCTAAAGGACGAGGGGGAGGCAAACCAAACATTCAGAACAACAAGAAGATAACTGTGCGTTTCATCTTGATCCAGGCTATGTACTGGAGCCAAAGTGAGTCTGATAAAAATCAAAGGTGGCCTTTTCCAAACAGAGATATGATTTAATCTGCCTGCTGAGAATCCGTGGAGCTCGGTGAGACGTTCCAACTGATCACAGAAACATGACACGCCATCTATTCTTATTATTCTCTGCGGTGATTTAAAAAAAAAAAAAAACACGCAGAGCGTCTGTTCCAATAAGTTTGATATTGGCATTTCATTTAAAGTGACAGAACCAGCTGTTGGGTTTTATAATGTAGGGAAAGATTTGCTTTTTATGCACGGCAAAAACAGTAGATTCTGTTATCCATCATGTGAAACTAAATCACACTTTAAGACAGGCAGAGTTTTCTATCGCTACTAAAGAGAAGAGATGCTGAAATAAAAATGAAGTGTTATAGCTTCAGTAAGTGTAAATATGTCTGGTGTGGTTTATTGAAAACTGCATTTCTTTTGATTGTTATAGCCTCCTAATGGAAAGTGGATGTGAAAACATATAAACAAGCTTTATGTTAAGTAAAATAAGTTAAAAACTCACCTCTGTTATGTGCGTGGCTAGCTGCTGAGACTTCTCAGAGTCTCCCCCATCACTTAAAGTTTTAGTAAAAAAGGGCAGCACTCGGTCTGTAACCCACGCTGCCACGTGCTCAAGAGAGAGCAGGTAGTCTCGACCTTCTGTCAGCTGAGAAATGGAAAAACAATTTTATTTCTACTTTAACTTTTCTTGGAGTGGAAGAAGGAGCAGGCTCATGACCAGAAAGAAATTGGCTTAGAAAATGGTCATCTGGAGGATTGTGTCAAAAAAAAAAAAAAAATCTGTGAGAGTAGCTGCTGAGATAACGGAACAATCTTACTAATGACTGTTTTTATTATCTAATAATCTGCTGATAATCTTTAAGGGAAATAAGACTTGTAGACTTTTTTTTTAACTTTCAGTTAGAAATAAATTGCCAAAAGTCTAGACATTTCCCTGTCGACTCCTGTTCGGCAAAGAATCAAATCCCTTGGTATTAAAGAGTTTAAAATCATTTAAAATGTATAACTACAGTTGGCAGCACCTCATTAATGAAACTTGCAACTTTACAAATGCAAAACACGACTGATGGGAAACTTTTAGGCACAAAACGAGAAGAATAAAGAGAAACAGAGATGCAAACTAAGCGTGGCGATTTACGTTGTGTTGCAGATGTGCACCGAGGCGACCGTGGAATGTAAAGGCTTTCAGTGCCGTCTCTGTTTTGGGATGCTGAGGGTCCTCTGTGGTCGAGGTGAGGTGAGTGTACAGCACTGACTGTCAAAACAAACAATATAGAAGAAAATATAAAACATCAGGTAATTTTATGCATAAAAGTAATTCAGTGTTATACCTTCCAGTTCCCTAGGACTGCATGCAGCTGCTTCAGAGGTCCTTGATCGAGAGCCAGAACTTTCTCCCGTGTAGAAGTGTGGTTGAAAAGGTACTCCAGGTAGGCCAGTGCCAGGTCTGGTTTGGCCTCTCTGGTCTCTTGAATGCGCACTTTTCTGCTTTTTGTTACCTTCTCCTGAAGTTGGTAAAAATACATTTTGTCTAAACTGTCTGGGAAACTTCATTGAAATCAAAGACCTTTTGTAATGTGTTGACTGACCCCTTGTTTAGGAAGGGACTCGGTGAGCCAGTCTATGATCAGATCCAGAACGTCAGAAGCCTGACCCCAGCTACAGATGCAGTCCAGCAGCTGACTGAACTGCGCAGGATCAGCTCCAGAGTCCATTCTCCTCAGTCTGGACAGGATTCCATAGCTAGGACGAGAAACCGGACAGGTAAAAAAAGAGTTACAATAAAGTGACATTGGAAAAAGAAGAAGGATGAGGAACCATCTATAGCTGCTCACCTAAACGTTGGAACTGCAGCCGCTGGCATAAATGAGGCCAGTTGTATAAGAGGAACGGTGCATCGCTCATGCTGAAATAAGAGAATTACATTTAGAAATAATCATCTGCAGAACAATTTTGCTAAAACAAATGCAGTGCAGCTAAAATACCTCAAAAGCCTGGAAATACTTTGCCATGACATTTCCAAACTTAGCAGCAGTGTAATTGTGCGCCTCTTCGTTTTGTTTTAGCGCCTTCTCGACACTTCCCCACAGGATGACCACGATCTCCAGCAAACTAGCCACAGTAGCCATGTCTTGTCCCAACAGATCAGGACCACCCTGCAGAATGTACCGGTAAATATTAACATAGGGCTTTCATAAACAAATACACAAAGTATACACAGCCTGAAGTATTTTAATGTTACTTTCTCATCTTGTCAGGCAGAGATATGGCAAATGTTTATATTGGGAACAAACCAAAATAAATTATTTAGGCTTTGCAATATACAAACTGTAAAAAAGAATATGTTTCTGCCATTGAAGTTTATTTGGAAAGGATTACAAAGTGGAAACTAACCACAGGTGAGCTCAGTTTTACTAATAAATTATGTGCATCCCCCTAGATGTTGACACATGTGAGTGTTGAAAATAGCTAGCAGAATTAGCTGCAGCACGTTTCTGTACCTGAAGCCTGTTTTGTAGTGAGTAAAATTAAATTAATCGCAATTTTCAACTACAAACCGGATTCCAAAAAAGTTGGGACACTAAACAAATTGTGAATAAAAACTGAATGCAATGATGTGGAGGTGTCAACATCTAATATTTTATTCAGAATAGGACACAAATCACAGATCAAAAGTTTAATCTGAGAGAATGTATCATTTTAAGGGGAAAATCTGTTGTTTCTAAATTTCATGGCGTCAACAAATCCCAAAAAAGTTGGGACAAGTCCATTTTTACCACTGTGTGGCATCCCCCCTTCTTCTTACAACACTCAACAGACGTCTGGGGACAGAGGAGACCAGTTTCTCAAGTTTAGAAATAGGAATGCTCTCCCATTCATGTCTAATACAGGCCTCTAACTGTTCAATCGTCTGGGGCCTTCTTTGTCGCACCTTCCTCTTTATGATGCGCCAAATGTTCTTGATAGGTGAAAGATCTGGACTGCAGGCTGGCCATTTCAGTACCCGGATCCTTCTCCTACGTAGCCATGATGTTGTGATTGCTGCAGAATGTGGTCTGGCATTATCGTGTTGAAAAATGCACGGTCTTCCCTGAAAGAGATGACGTCTAGATGGGAGCATATGTTGTTCTAGAACCTGAACATAGTTCTCTGCATTAATGGTGCCTTTCCAGACATGCAAGCTGCCCATGCCACAAGCGCTCATGCAACCCCATACCATCAGTGATGCAGGCTTCTGAACGGAGCGTTGATAACAACTTGGGCTATCCTTGTCCTCTCTGGTCCGGATGACATGGCGTCCCAGTGTTCCATAAAGAACTTGAAATCGTGACTCATCTGACCACAGAACGGTCTTCCATTTTGCCACACTCCATTTTAAATGACCCCTGGCCCAGTGCAAACGTCTGAGCTTGTGAAGCTTGCTTAGAAATGGCTTCCTCTTTGCACTGTAGAGTTTCAGCTGGCAACGGCGGATGGCACGGTGGATTGTGTTCACCGACAATGCTTTCTGGAAGTATTCCTGAGCCCATTCTGTTATTTCCTTGACAGTGGCATTCCTGTTTGAGGTGCAGTGACGTTTAAGGGACCGGAGATCACGAGCATCCAGTAGAGTTTTGCGGCCTTGACCCTTACGCACAGCGATTGTTCCAGATTCTCTGAATCTTTTGATGATGTTATGCACGGTTGATGATGATAACGTAAAACTCTTTGCTATTTGACGCTGGGTAACACCATTCTGGTATTGCTGCACTATCTTTCTGCGCAACAATGGTGGAATTGGTGATCCTCTTACCATCTTGGCTTCTGAGACACTGACACTCTGAGAAGCTCTTCTTATACCCAGCCATGTTGTAAATTGACCTAATTAATGTTAAGTGGTCTTCCAGCTGTTCGTTTTATGCTCAGTTTCCTTTTTCCAACCACTTATTTCTACTTGTCCCAACTTTTTGGGGATTTGTTGACACTGTGAAATTTTGAATCAACATATTTTTCTTTTAAAATGTTACATTTACTCAGATTAAACTTTTGATCTGTCATCAATGTTATATTACGAATAAAATATTGACATTTGCCATCTCCACATCATTGCATTCAGTTTTTATTCACAATTTGTTTAGTGTCCCAACTTTTTTGGAATCCGGTTTGTATGTGTACAGTTGTTGTTTTTTTTCAGCAAAATCATGAAACAAGTAATGGTTTCAAATCGTAAAGAGACTAGTGTTTTCTTTGCTTCTAAATATTTTGCTGTTGTGTTATCTTAATTAGCCCTTCATGTGTAAAAGATAAGACACGTGAGAAGGATTGACGTTGATTGTGTTTGTTAGCTGCTTGGTACAGGTGTAGCAGTTCGGTAGTAAAAAGTGAATATTTGAAGAAAAATCCAACACTTACAGATGAATTTGAAGAGTGTTTCTGTATAAAACGCACATCATTAATGACAACAAAAAGATTGTTTTTAGTAAAAAAGTTGGCATTTCTAAAACATTTATTCAGGTTAAATGAGATATTTTCTAAACTAGTTTTTCCAACTGTATCTGCTCTTTAACGTCCATTAAATCTTTCTTACCAAGCTGTTTTCCTTGTTGCCATCATTTTCAGTCACGTCACAGTCCAGCTGGATGCAGCGGTTCAGAGTGCGGCGAATAGCCAATATAAACTTCACTGAAGAGAAATGAATATTACACATATAACAATCTTAAGATGGAAAACGCAACATTTAAATGCATTATTTTCTTTTATACCTAATCACTTTGCACTTACATATGTTAGTGGCTGCTGTATGTTTGTGAGCGTGCTGGTAGAACTTCCTGGCAGCCATGGGGTTCATCTGGATGAGAGTGATGCACCGGCAGCACCACTCCTTCTCCGACTCATTGACAGGGAAGAAGGACTTGAAGAGCAGATTGGCGACACGCTTGGAGACTGGATGTGAGTCTATAGCCAGACGGGCCAGAAGGTGGTCCATGTTACACACATCCCAGAACTGGAGATTAGGAAAAAAAAAGAGAAATTTATAAAAGCTTTGCATTTGAATACAGTCAAAATTGATGTGTTTTTACTATTCATAATTAGCAAGGGGAACAGAGTACCCTGGCAGCACGAACAGCTTTCACATGGATCAGCAAGTCAAGGAAAGCAGTCCGGACTTTCTCTGATTTGTCGTGGAGGCTGTACTTCAGAGTGGGCAGGAGCTTCTCCAGCAGTGGGTGGCTGAAAGGATTGTCCAGGACAAGAGGCAAACACTGAGAGAAAAATAAAATCAAATCATGAAGCGTCCTGTACAAACTTACTGCTCCTGGGTGTGATTTAATCATAACATCAAAATAACTACATATATAAAAAAAACTGAAGTTTGTACTTTTTCTTAATTTTTATAAAATGTCAACAATAATTAAATTACTGATATTAAAGCCATATGTACATTAGTTAACAATGTGTAACTATTGGGTAATTACTAAAACTCTTCGAAAAAAACAACATTTTGATTACTGGTATATATCTAACTATAATGTAATATAGATATTTCATCTTATTTTATGTATACATATATGAAAATTAGGGAAGCACGATAATAGATTTTTGGCCGATATCCGATATGCTAAAACTTATTTGGCAGATAACCGATATCAATGCTGATATTATTTCCCCTAGACCTACTTACAGACTACATAGCTTTCTCTGCTGTGGAATTAAAATACTACATTATTCTGCATAGGCCTGTCACAATAACAAATTTTGCTGGGTGATTAATTGTCTCAGAAATTATTGTGATAAATGATAATATTGTTTGAAATTTGACATTAGTAATTATTGTCAAATTTAAGGAACGTAGGTTTATGTCTGTGTAGTACCTTTTTTGACCACTGGATAGCAGTGTAAGACTTTGAACTGAAGGATTCATGATAGTGAAGGAAGGAGCAGCTTCTCTTTGAGAAAAATGGAAGGGAGGTCCCTTGACGTGACATGGGCTGACACTCATTCTTGTTTTTCACTTTTCAAAATGGCGGATGCTCGGTATGTTTTGAGCTCTTTAGCATAGCATTTGTCACACAAAGCATTTAATAAAAAAAAATCAGTAAACAAGTTCTCAGCTTGTTTTTGCAAAAAAAAAAAAAAAAAACTTTTTAGACTAAGACACAGGTTTCAACCGTGAATTTTGGAGCTTCGAAAAGACAGAGGTTTATTCCCTGAGGTCAGCCTGTTAGCTTAGCTTCTCAGCTTAGCTGCTTTTAACAATCCAAAAACGCAATTTTGGACAGTTAAAACGAATTTTAAAAAGAAAAGAGAAAGGGAGGGGTCAGTGAAGAGCACTGGAGTTGAGCCTTTTGTCATAAAGGGTCCAGTAAAAAGAGACACAAAGAAACGATAAAGCCAATAAATGAAAATGAAGTTGAGAATTTTCATTTATCATGCAATTAATTGATTTATGCTTATAGCGACAGGCCTAATACCGCATGGTCTTTGTCAATTAGGCCTGCTACCACACACAGATGCCAAAAAGTGGGGCTGAAAATGATGTAACACTTCAATTTGGACTATGTTTAATGTCAAATTTATTCATGACATTTACTCTCTAACACAATGACAACACTCGAACAGTGCAAATTTGTAAATTTTCACAAATCTAAACTCAACGGCGCGTGTGACATCATT